AATAAATATATCACAATAACAATATTAGAAATAATATAATAATGATAATAATATTATTATTATTAATATTGATGTTAGCGTTTACGATTGGCTATTTATGAAATCATTGGTAATTTTTTTTAGCCTGGTTGGGCGCGCTGCTGGAAATACTTTCTGTGCCAAGCAATTTGAGTGTTCGTCAGTTTTTTTCTTATAGATTTCTGATTTTTGTGAATTTCTTAATTTACTGTCATCATGTTGCTGTCCTGGTGTATCAACCAGTTGGGAATGTACTCGCATCTTGTTCTGCACTCGCAGAATGATCTGTATATTGTTTTTTTTTGACGGTGCTCCATAGTTGAATCCCATAGAACCACACTGGTTTGAAAATACATTTGTAAATAATTAGTTTGTTGTTCGTCGACAGTTCGAATCGTTTAATCAGCAACTAGTAATGTTTTTTAAATAGTTCATCAATCTGCTGTTTTTTCTTGTTAATGTGAACCTTCCAGTTCAATTTGGAGTTTAGCTGTATTCCGAGATATTTTACGGTATCTTTTACTGGAATTTCCCATCCGTTCAAATAATTAATGTGAAAATATAAAAAAGAAAATGTGGCAACAGAAAGAAATTTAAAATGTCATAAGGAGTGTCGCATGAACTTCGCGATACGTGTAAAAAATCGACTTGATCATAAATATTGAGTTTTGGCTATTTAGATAAATTTTTTAACTGTGTATATCCAAAATGAAGTTTTTGCCATGTAATTTAAGTAATTTATTTTATTCTAATATTGTCTATGATTGATTGAAAATTATTGCAATTATTAATTGATATATTTTAGTCAAACTTATAAATATAAATTATAGAATAGAAGTATATATGGAATATATGCATGTCCTAAAAGTGCGGCGTATTAGAGGAAAAATTAATGAATATTTATAATTTTTGTTTAAACATTTTAGGACGTTGCTTTAAATCACAAACACTATCGCAATTAAGCCATTGGCATTTTATTCTTGGTTTTTGGTAGTAAAGACTGTGAAAATGTCTATATATTTGCTGTATAATCAGACGTATTTTATACATAATCAAGCAAGAAGGAATGTTATGATAACATTTTTTTATTGGATTTCCGAAACCGCCGGACCTGCCTTCCCAAAAAATTTATCGGTTCTTCATTTCGTCAATACAAATAAAATGGTTTTTAAATCGTTGACATCGGACATTCGTTGTCTCAAAAACAGAATTACCATTTTTGGCAATAAATATTTATTCAGCTCTTCATTTCCTCAATTTAAATCATTGAAATTGGACGCTACGTTCTCTCAAAAACGGAATTGCCATTTTAGAATTTTTTGCTTCATATCTTCGAAACGGTTGGAACTGCCATTGCCTAAAACTAACCAGCACTTCTTCTGATCAATACGAATCGAATGTCGACAAAAGTTTGAAATACACACACACACACACACGCGCAAACTTGCATCCATAACTGAGGCTGCTTGGAACGCCATAGAAAATTTGCGAGAAAGATAAGTATAAAATCAGTGCGAGACCAGAAGCAAGGGCAAAGCGGAGGATTTTGTCGGTATTTTACCCAGGCGGTATTGAGTCCGACATACCCAGACAAAAGACCAGTCTGGGATGCAAAAATGCATTGCCTGCGCTATTAATATTGAAAAATTTCATTAATTAAAATGCAATTAAAATTAAAAAAAAAAAAAAATTAAACTCTTAAAAATGTAATTTTCTTCTACTAGTCTTCTTACTTTTTGTTTTATATCATATGCTAGATACTTCTATCGTTACTATATGAATCTCAAAAATTGTTTTAAGCACAATGTTATTCAGCACTATTTTAACATATGTCTATCTAAATATCGCAGATTCTCAGCTAGGCGATGTCTAGCATCGTGAAGCGTCACCAGCGTAGGCTAATCTCATGCTCTGTCCCCGATCTCACGGGCCGCGTACGAGCGACAGTGACGAATCACTAGCGAGCCGTTCTAGGACAGATCATGAAATTCGTTACGGTATGCGTACTGCATAGTAAAATTTGTCTTGTCAATTCTTTATAGAAAATCCATTCCCGCTTCTTTCTAAAATACAATAAGGATTTAAAAGTTTAGTTAACTGTTATTGTCAAATTCTTGATTCAATAAAGAAAGATAGGAACATTAACAGGGGCATTGAAAAGGATCCACTCTTTCGGCAAAAAAAATAAAATACTAATTTTTAAAACGCAAATAAAACCTATAATTTTATATGGAATAACAACATGGAGCCAAACAACTAAAGCAAACCTAAATGACATACAGAGAATAATGAATAAAGCCATAAAAATAGCATATAATTTTCCACATCTAACACCCACCAAATACGTACAGAGAGAAACAAATAATCATTCACTAAATAACATAATTAAAATAGAGAAATGCAAACTAATACACAAAATGAAATTTAACCGAATTAAAACAAGTGCAACAATAGACACAAATCAAGATATACACGAACACTACACTAGACAACACAACAATTTTCACATTGAACACAATAGAAAAAAGAATTTGAGAGAAAATGTCATATGGAGTGCTAGCAAAATATATAACGAATTGCCAGACTATATTAACACTATGCCGTCCGGCGACACCACAGTGGTGTCGCGCGCGAACTAACGCTCAACAGCCGGCGACACCACAGTGGTGTCATGAGCACAGTATCGTCCTTTGGCCAGTGGCAGAAATCTTTCCATCCTGTTGGTGTTTTAATTTAGATAACAAAATGTTACACCCGTCAACTTTAGTAAGACCTAAAAATTTGTAATTTTTCGATAATATCCAGAATGGGCGGGGACAAGCAAAGTGATATCAAATTAGCACTACCGGCGCCAAGCAAATAAATTTTTACAAGACGTGCGGACGGCAAAGTGTTAAGATGACCAATGATAACGATAATTTTAAAAGAAAAATAAAGAAGTACTATAAGGAAATTGAAGACAAATGTTATGGCAAGGCTATTTTACGTAACAATTTTCATACAAAATGGTACTAAGTACTGTCAAAATGCCATGTATTTGCTGTACTATTAGTCGTTTTACACATAAAATGCAACTTTACTCATCTGTTATTAAACCATATCACAAAGATGCAGTTATGATAACATCGTTTTTTAACATGGTGCGTTTTCTAGATTAGATTTTCTATCTAAAACGCTTGACTGAACAGTAACCACATGGCTTTGACAGTTTTTAGTACGATTTTGTATGAAAACTAGCACATAATATAGCCTTGCCATAACATTACGGCAACCCCTAAGTACGTTTTTCTTTACACAACAGATTACAATACAATAGACTATTTTATTTTATTCTATTAAAGCAATCAGAACTTAACTTCATATGAGCTGTTGTGCAAAATTCTTAAACGACGTGACTCTTTATAAATGGAAACCCAAACCGTTGCTCTATCTCTATGGGATGAATATATGTATTATTACAATTCCTGTAATACTGATCATTTTTTTATTGATGCAGCAATGGGTAATGTCTCTTTTCAATTGGAAACATATAGCAATTTATATTTTCAAGTAAAAACTATTGTCATTTCTACTTGACATCAAGCTGTCCGAGGCGAATGTAAAAACTAGTTTTGGGTCTGATTTGGAATCTATATTTTGGACCATTAGGTCACGAGAAAACTCACATCACAATGTAAAATTATAATCAAATCTTCTTTTCCCAATATGTTTATATACAGTTTGGAGAAGTAATGCGTGAGAAAGTATGTTTGTTGGTTGGTAGATTGTCATATTTTGTAAAACTTCCAGTTTGTAAAATTTGATTAGATGCTTGTTAGAATAAAAATAAAAGTTCAAATTTAGCAATTAATCATCATAGCAGTAAAAAAGGATCAAAAACCAAATATTAAAAAATAATGTATGAACTAATAGAAGTTAAACTAAAAATAAATTATAAAACTTGAATATATATACAAACATGATATTTCGCTGCGCTGCATCAACAATCGATAATACCCGAGACTGTTGCATATAAATCGTATTTTCATAAAACATGACAGAACTTTGTTCTGTTCAGAACATATAGCCTCAAACATAAGCCGAAAGGAAATCAAAGTTATATATATATATATATATATATATATATATATATATATATATATATATGTACGGATATATGAGTCGAGTTTCACTCTAAATCTATATCAAAAGAGTTTTTTTTCAAACTGAGCTATTTTCAATTCGAAACATATATTTTAAATTTTGTATGATAAATGCATATCACTACTACGTGTTACTAGTTAGTATTTTGTTTGAATATAACTAATATTATAATATAAATGTATACAGTAAACCCTCGCTTTACGAGGCAAGTGCTTACCGTGCAGTATGGGGACCGTGCTATAAAAAACTCGTATTTAACATACAATTCAGGCTAATTCGTAGTGCGTTCTATAGAACCTCACATAGTGCAGTATGGGAACCGACTCAGAGTTGGTTATGCAAATCGCACCACTTTTATCGTGCTGTATGGAGACCAAAAAATACAACTTGAAGTAGGAGTAATACGGACAAAATGACATGTATGACATTGACACCTCATTCAAAAATTGGCGCGACACAGTTGTCAGCTCAAACGTGTTCCTAGGCAGCTATTAAATAATCAGGCATGTCTGAAAGATAAAAGTCGATAACAAAACTTACATTAATACCCTTTTGATATTAAGTTACTAGAATCACTCATAGGTTGCACACCGAACTTATGGGCTGCTGACCAAATACCGTGTAATAAGAAGTCCGTGTAGTCGGAGGGTTGTCGGATTTTTAGCTCCGTGTAGTATGGGAACCGTGTACCCAGAGTTCCGTGTAAAGCGAGAGTCTACTGTAATATTATTTAAATAAATATACTACTTAAATTACTATTGACATCTTTGGTCTTTAATTTTCGTTAGTATCATTTATAACTTGACCTTTGAACACTCTGTCCTTTTCTATTTTTACCTGAGCCGTACGTGGGGTCTGACTTAATCAGTTTTGATTTTGGTTGGCATAAGGTCATTTTGTTTTTTGAACTAGGTAAGTAAATGCATTACTTAATTTCTGAAATTTATTTTATATTATGTATTACATTTAGTGCAATATTAATTGTATTAACTCAAATTAAAATTGCTATGTTGGTTCCAGTTTACTTATGTGAGCGCCGGCTTGTCAAATATGTCAACGAAGTGTTCATGAATATAAATTTTTACTTCATCGATGGTGCAAGAATATGATGCATCTATTCCATAAAAAGGTAAATAATGTTAATGTGTTCATTATTAAAATTGTTACGCGGCATACATCGTCACATTATAGTTCATTTATGTTATTATTTTTGTATTACTGTTTTTATTTTATTTTCATTTTAACTTTTTTCTTTTTTTCGCACATATCAATTTTGTAAATAAGACATTAAAATCTTGAGTAACAATAATAAATTATAACAAATATATATATATATATATATATATATATATATATTTATGTATATATATATATATATTATAATTGTGAAGTGTTTCACATAAAACCACGATTAATTTCATAAATCGAGTTTCGGAACTATGATGCATATAATATTCCACGCATATCAAAGTATTGTTTTTTATGCTTTGTTTCTTGCTCTTTCCATTCACTATCAAGGCACATCAATTTTATTACATGTTAAAATGGTAAATGTTATAAAAGTTTTACCACGTATATTTCAATTAAGTCCTAATACAAATTCTTCGTGGAACTTCATGGCGGGGTGTTCATAAATAAAACATTTAATTTTATGGTTGGCCAACTATTTCTCGTTAAACCTGTGATAGCTCTATAACCCAGATCTTAGTAATGGGCCAATAAAATAGCTTATTCACACGCATCGCAATTTTATATACATAAAAACCGTTTCATTCGCTAAAAGGAATTTTAATTATCGTTAAACTTATTAAGGTTTATTAATAATGTATTTGTATTTATTTTATCTATAGCATTTTGTTGTGACAATTATGACTAGTGAAATCGTTTCATGAGGCAGTTCTTACGTGACGGATGTATGAAGTTTTAAAGATAAATTTTAAACTATTTCTTATTTTTCTGATAAAACTAGCAGTGCATTGCATCATGTCTTAAGGCAAATTGCTGGAACTTTCCGTACCCTAATTAAACATTCGCGAAATGACAGTAATCAATAATTGCTTTAAATAATTTCAAATAGATTATGAATACATACTGCATATTTACAAGTTTTTTAAGTTCGATTTTTTGAGTTTTTGGAATAAATCGATTTTTTTTAATTTTTTTGAGAATTTTAAAATGTTTGAAAATTTCGAAATATTATCAAATTTTTGAAAGAAATCGATTCTTTTTAAATTTTGAAATTTTTTAAAATTTAGATTTTTTTGAAAATGATGAAAAATTTCGAAAGTTTTATTTTTTTTTCTACTTTAATTTTTTTTGAAAATATTGAATTTTTTTTTAATTGAAAATTTCGATTTTTTTTGTCAAAGCATTTTTTGCTCAACGTCTATACAAGCAAAAGGTTTTTTGAATTAATCTAATCGGATGATCCGTTCTCTCAAGAACTGTATGACCATTTTTACACCCTTTGCGCCCATACCTCCGAAACGGCTCCATGCCTTCGAAACCTGCCTTTTGCAAAAACGCCTCGCGAATCGCGATCGAGTACGAACCGAATGTATTTTCAATCATACAAATCGGTTATTCCATACTGTCGAAAATGACTTTGTTTGAAACATATAAATGAAGTTTAAAATAAAAAATTCTGACAAGGAACCCAAAAAATGACACAAAATGTGTACACATTAATAAAATCTGTATAAAATATCTGATAATTTGATGTATATATTTCTTGAACATTTTTAGCCGCTAAATGGCATTTAAAAAAAAAACGTTGAGGGTCCATAACTGCGAGACCTGCATTTTCAAAAATTTAAACAGTTCTCCGTTTAGTCAATACAAATAAAATGTTTTTTTGAATTATTAAAATCTGACGCTCCGTTCTATCAAAAATTGAGCTACCGTTTGCGTCACTTTTTGCCTCGTATTTTCGAAACGGCTTTTGCCTATGCCAAAAACTAATCAGCACGCCTCCTTATTAATAAGAATCGAATGTTTTTTGAATAATTGAAATCGGTTGAACCGTGTTTCCAAAATCGCCGACGAAAATTTGTATCCGCACACACACATACATACACACACACATACATCCATTTTTTTAAGGTATGCAAAAATGATCAGAAACCTCTGAAACGTAATAATCGATTTATTTTTGCAACTCCTATAACTTACCGGGAATTTAACTGGGCGTATTTGGAGAGTTTTTTGTTTGATATGTGCTATTTGATATTTGGTATTTGTGGCGTAGTTAGTGTGGTTTTCGAAGTTTTATTGCCACAAGTCAAATCGGATCTTTGGTACAAATTACACTTTTTTCGATATTCTGCATAAATTTTCTTTAAAATTGAAATTGAAAATACACGTAATTTGACTTCTCCACATTATGTAAAATTTTGCCAACCTTCTAATATAGCTCAACCACCAATTACATTTGCTATTTTTCACCATAACAGCTATGTACATATAACAAATGTAGCTCAATCATAGTTAAGTCATGATTAATGACAATTATCCAACAAAAATAATGGAATCAATGACAAATGCTAACCAATGACAAATGACAAATAAACAAAATACTCTCACCAATGCAAATAAAATTTAAATGACTATCAATTTTTTTTAAATCAAGTCAAAGTTTTTTTTTAATTTAAAAGAGTTATTACTATTTACTTCGTGTGTGTATTATTTATCTGTTATTGTTTTTTGTAAAAAATATTTATTAAAATGTGGAAAAACACGAAAAGAAGCCCTTTGCAAACAGATCCACTTCTAAGAGAAACATGCATTTGAAGTAAGGGATCCAATTATTAAAGAACCATGCTTGGGTTTGAAAGGACTGAGTGGATATTTTCTACTATCATTCATGTTGCTGCTTGTGATAATCACATATTGCTTATGTGTCACCCTCATCCATTTACCATGAAAAATTTTTATGGTAAGTTTCTTGGAAGAAACTTTGGACATTTGAACCTCAGCGATGATTCTACCTCAAACTTCATTAGGCATCTTGCACCTAGTGTTAGAACGATAGTATCGATACTGAGTAAGTATCGATACTTTGATTTCGACTATAAGTACTTTTGGAATCGATACTTCGGGTCGATTCTTTTGGCGGTATCGATACTTTGCGCCGATTCTACTCAAAAAGTATCGGATATATTTTTTGACCCCACCAAAAGTTCGACCGCATTTTATGAACACCACTCATTCTTTTTTGTCGTGGCGGCACCGCTCTTCATAGATAACGAACGAAAGAAGCGATAAGTCGAGTGCGATATGGTTTTTGTTGAAGAAAATGTTTATGAATGCCCCTAGTTCGAAGCCAATGATTAACAATAAATAAAAGAATTAAAGTTTAAGATTGCATACGTCGATAATATAATTTCTGTTACCTCCGAGAACATATGTTTATCAACGATAATAAATTTTGTATGTTATATGCAAAAACCTTGTTATCTACGAAATTGTCACGCAACCAACTTTGGTTAAATAATTTATTAAGACATTCGATTTCCGATTCTAATTTTTAAAGCCGATACTTTTTTTCTAAAATAAATACTACTTCATAATCACTAAGTATTTCCATTAAAATTAATATAATTCCGATTTTAATATTTAAAGCCGATACTTGTTTTTTCTAAAATAAATACTATTTTATAATCGCTAAGTATTTCCATTAAAATTATTATAATTCCGATTCTAATATTTAAAGCCGATACTTGTTTTTTCTAAAATAATAAATTCTTTTTGATATAAATTAGCCGACATTATAATTATAAATGAATACTTTCGTCACAAAACAATGCTTTTTTTAATTAATGAGTTTTTTTTTTTTGTTATAAATTAGCCGATACTAAATTCATAAATGAATACTGTTGTCACAAAACAATACTTTTTTTTAATTAATGAGTATTTTTCTTTGTGATATAAATTAGCCGATACTAAATTCATAAATGAATACTTTTGTCACAAAACAATACTTTTTTTAAATTAATGAGTATTTTTCTTCGTGATATAAATTAGCCGATACTAAATTCACAAATGAATACTTTTGTCACAAAACAATACTTTTTTTTTTAATTAATGAGTATTTTTCTTTGTGATATAAATTAGCCGATACTAAATTCATAAATGAATACTTTTGTCACAAAACAATACTTTTTTTTTAATTAATGAGTATTTTTCTTTGTGATATAAATTAGCCGATACTAAATTCATAAATGAATACTTTTGTCACAAAACAATACTATTTTTTAATTAATGAGTATTTTTCTTTGTGATATAAATTAGCCGATACTAAATTCACAAATGAATACTTTTGTTACAAAACAATACTTTTTTTTTAATTAATGAGTATTTTTCTTTGTGATATAAATTGGCCGATACTAAATTCACAAATGAATACTTTTGTCACAAAACAATACTTTTTTTTTAATTAATGAGTATTTTTCTTTGTGATATAATTTAGCCGATACTAAATTCATAAATGAATACTTTTGTCACAAAACAACACTATTTTTTAATTAATGAGTATTTTTCTTTGTGATATAAATTAGCCGATACTAAATTCACAAATGAATATTTTTGTCACAAAACAATACCTTTTTTTTTAATTAATGAGTATTTTTCTTTGTGATATAAATTAGCCGATACTAAATTCATAAATGAATACTTTTGTCACAAAACAATACTATTTTTTAATTAATGAGTATTTTTCTTTGTGATATAAATTAGCCGATACTAAATTCATAAATGAATACTTTTGTCACAAAACAATACTTTTTTTTAATTAATGAGTATTTTTCTTTGTGATATAAATTAGCCGATACTAAATTCACAAATGAATACTTTTGTCACAAAACAATACTTTTTTTTAAATTAATGAGTATTTTTCTTTGTGATATAAATTAGCCGATACTAAATTCATAAATGAATACTTTTGTCACAAAACAATACTTTTTTTTTAATTAATGAATATTTTTCTTTGTGATATAAATTAGCCGATACTAAATTCATAAATGAATACTTTTGTCACAAAACAATACTATTTTTTAATTAATGAGTATTTTTCTTTGTGATATAAATTAGCCGATACTAAATTCACAAATGAATACTTTTGTCACAAAACAA